ATAAACTATTTGTCCTAACATTTTTAAAACAATTGGATTAGATTTGAATTTTTAAAAGGTGTATGGTTACTTATGACTGGCACTGTATATGAATTGTAAAATCATATTTGGAAAAGTGTTTTTTTTAATATTGAATTTGTATTTGATTATGAAATCAATTTTTCTTTGAATTTTTTTAAGCATATTTGAAATAATAAAAGTTGTTTATAGTTTGAATTCTATTTATGAAAAAAAACTTTGTTATAAATATATATTGCCATATGTTTTATTATAAATTTTAATTTGAGTTTTTGTATTATTATTTTAATATTTTTTATTATTTTTTCTCATTTTATTGAAAAAAAAGAAAGTTTTATCTTTATAAAGAAGTGATTATTAAAAAAAAATTTTAAAAAATATGTTTTTTTGAATAAAATAATGATTTTTTAAAGAGTATAAATACTATTTCTAGGATTAAAAGAAAACAGATATTTGTATTTGTGATTTAAGAGTTAATAAGTAGTTGAAAGTAATTTTTTGAAGATGCAAAATTAAAATAGGTAGATGATAATTTGAAGAAACCTTGTATTCTTCACAAAAGTAATTTTTGTAATTTAAGAAATTATTAAGATCATTTCTTTTTTAATAAGAAAAATACTTTTGTATTTAATTAAAAAATTATTAAAATCTTCAGAAAGTAAATAATTTTCTTAAAGTATAAGTTAAATAGTTTTTCAAATTTATAGTAAATATTAAAAACATATAAGATTGCAATAATATGGATTTTGTTTGACATTAAAAGTTTAGTAAAAAGTTTTACTTTAATTTGAAAAGAAATTTTAGATAATTCAGTCCTTAGGAGTTGCACTCCACTTGGTCACAAGAGCTCCTAGATTTGGCAGCCAGTGCCAACCAGTAAACCAAAACTGGAGCATTCACTAGGGAGTACAAGCATCATGTTGTTAGCCCCTTTGCCATAGGATAAAGGTGCGAAGAGGTATGATGTGACAAATAACTTAGGAGATAGTTAGCAGTGTCGACTGCCCTTACATAAAAATTGGACCAGTAGGTTGGATGGTTTAAAACTAGTAATAGGATTTCCATTCCCTAGATAGGTCCTCTCCAAAAATATGAGCCCACTTCAAGAGTGGCACTTGTATCACTGGAGCATTAAGAGTAGGATAGGTTAGTATTAAGTTGTAGTCTAGTATTATAAAAGATGTTTAATATAATTGTGATATTATATATATATCAATAAATGATGGCATCTAAAGCCTATTCTACTATAAAAAAAAAAAAGAATTTTAGATAGTTCAGATGACAAATTAAAAAAGAAATCATTAAAATATTTTTTGAATTTGTTTTTGAGAAATATATATTTGATAAAAAGATTAGTTTTTTGATAAAATAATTAATTAAATAGATGAAAAGGCTGGCTAATTTATAGTAGAGTTCCAAAAAGTATCAAACTGATACTAAAGTGATATCTAATAATATTGATTTATAGTAAATTTAATATATGGGTTAGGACTTACTCATATAAATTTATAATAAATTTAAGTATCAAACAGGTATTGAACAGGTATTAAAATAATATCATTAGGAGCTTTAGTTTATAGTAAAAGATATTTTTGATATCAATTGTGCATAAGTAAGTAATTAATAAAAGAATATAAATTATAATAAAGATTTTTTTTTATTTTAAAGTTAATAAAACTTAGGTTGTTTTTATTTTTGTATTTGTTTTGAAAGTCTTTTTCAATTTCATTAAATTTTTTTTAATAAGCTGATATCAGGTTTTTATTTTGGATAAAGGAGCTAAAGAATATATAATTTTTGAAACTAATTTTATTTATGGTTGCTTTGAAATAATATAGTGGATATTTAAAAAGTTTATAATAGTATTGAGTATTTAAATGATAATTTAAATATTTTTTGAAGCTGAAAAAAAATTGTTAACTAGTTTTTTAATATTTGTCCTAAGTGTTTTATATTGTTTAATATATAATATATAATTTCTTGTAATTCTTTTTGAATTTATTGTTCAAAGAAAAATAATCAAGTATAAAAAATAGTTTTGATTTGAATAAAAGTTTTAACAAGTTTATTTAGATCAATAATATTATTAATAATCATTAGATTTAATTGATTGGTATAATAAATTGTATTTATTTATTTTTATGTTAAAATTAGAAATTGTTATGAAGTTGTCAAAAGAGAAAGTTGAATAATATTTGTTTAAGAAAAAATGTATTTGTAACCGGTGGTGACTGTAACCGATCACGTGATTACATATAATTATGTGACTACCGTCAATTATATCATAGTGACACGACAAAATTTTTTTTACTATCATTAATGACGATTATAATGAACCACAATAATGACAAAACACCACAGTCTAGTAATGATAATGATAATGGAATTCAGCCCTGCGATGAAATAATGCAGCCTGATAATGGCGAAATTATATATTTGGAAAACTTGACCACGAAGTACTATACTCTTAAAAAAAACTTTTTTTAATAAGTCTGGCATTAGCTCAGATCCTCTTTTCTCTCTTTATTAAGCTTTAGTTCTTTCTCTCCACAACAAATTGTGATACCACCTTTTGTTGGGCAAGTCTTCGAAACGTGGGATGATGTAGATAAATATTTTAATGATTACGCCTGGCAAAAAAA